TTATACCAATACTTTATTTCAAATTTATTTCTCATTTGCAATTGCTTTAGCATATTAGCCATTTGCATAAAGTAATATTTGTCAAGGTGTTTATACCAATTCTTTATTTCAAATTTATTTCTCATTTGCCATTGCTTAGCATATTAGCCATTTGCATAAAGTAATATTTGTCAAGGTGTTAATACCAATAGTACTTTATTTCAAATTTATTTCTCATTTGCCATTGCTTTAGCATATTAGCCATTTGTGGGAAACAATGCAAAACTTGGAAATGCCATATTTCAACATTTAACTGACACTGATTACTGAATGAATATAAATTTTGTAGTCAAAGTTGAAATTTGTGTTCAGTGATTCAAATATTTGGTAATAAAAGAAATTCAAACATCTTAGGTTAATATATTGTCTGAATAAATAACAATAAAAAGCTAATATTTAGAATACTGAATATATATTAGTACAGGCAATCAAATATTTCACCAAAGAATCCAGGCTATCATTTCAGTACAAGGGCTCAATCTTAAAATTGTGTTCTTTTTTTTATTCCATTTAAAAGAATCCTTGGACTAGTCACTGATATTGATTTTATTTATCATCTATTTTTATATCTCTCAAACTCAGAAATACTAAATTTTCATGCATTTTTCTTTACCTTATAATTTCAACTTTTTAAAAAGTTATAATCTATTCTTTGACATTTTAAAGTTTCTTAATAATTAAATCTTCTTTATTTTTATAATTTTTATTTACTACTGCAGTCCCTATAAATAGTACACTTCTTATCACTCTTCAGATTTGCACTTTAAACAACAGAGAATATAAAAGTTTTCAATTTTTGTTATTCAAACTTATATTTTAATTTTATAAACTAAATTTTATAGCTTGAACACATGGGTGTATGAGTGACCATGCCCTTGATTTTAGGTTTCCTGTAGTCCAGGGATAGTACCTAATTAGAATCCCTACCCCAGGGTCACAGTCTGGTTATAATAACAACTAATTAAAGGTAAAGATAAAAGATATATAAAATACAAACATATAAATAAAAAAAGCCTGCATTTAATTAGGTATCTGCAAAAGGACACACCCCCTTGGTGATCCTAAGCTTGAGCGGGTGATTTCAAATATTTCCCATTTCAATTATTTGAATCCCCAAACTGCTTCTATTTGTAGTATAAGAGTGCATGTCATTGTACAGTAGACATACTTATGTGTTGCAATGAAGACTTAATTACCATAATGAGTTTCAATGAGTACCGGCTCAATTCTTAGCAGCCTCTTTACGTACTTAAGACCTAATTTACTTGGCACATTAAAGCGTGCAAAGCATTCAAGTTGCTATCGTAAACTCATTCCCTTGGGTGAGTGAGTATGTTTTTATTGAGCAATTCGCAACCAACATTTGCTAATTACCAATTAGAAGTTATATCACATCACAGATGTTTTAACCTAATTATGATATTTATTCAAGCACATTAATAACAAATTCCCAATAATCACAATCACTACAAGATAAAGCAACACATTCTTCTTATTTTACTACAGAGGTACTAGATAGAAACCAAATGTATTGTTTAGTTTACTGACTTTTATCCCAAGATTATGTATTTAATCAGGAATGCGTTCAATGAGGGATCATGAAATTTGATTGAAGATCCTAGGATTAAAGTATGAGGATATAAGGATTTGGGGATTGTGTGTTTAAGGGTCTAGGCACTTGGGGTATGTTCACACACACACGGTGTAAGACTGGCGTAGTTTAAACTGGTGTAAGATAATCCACGGATTAAAATTCCAAAGTGTACACACAAAAATGGCATTCGCTATATTGACACTGGCGTTAAGCTAGTAATAATATAGGCCTAGGGGGAATATTTTTCAGTTTTAAATAATGTACGGGTTCTTAAAATAATTACAGTGCATCATTAAAACTGTCTAATTTGTGAATTGTTGGCAGCGAACTTATATGATTACTGTATTTTAAATGAACAATTTTACTTTTGATTTTCAGCTAGCATTGTGGAACAATTGTTGGTTTTGCTGGTTTTAAAATAGAGTAACAGGGATCAAATTAACTAATCTATTGCAATCATGATTGGTCAATTCCTTGAAACGAGGTCAAATCATTCAAGCATCACTGGCGTCAACTCCGTGGCATTAACTAATCTGGGGTCTGCAAGTAGCGTTAATAACGCCACAGATGTGGCGTTGTGAGTGGCATAAGTAATGCCACTGCCTAGTTCACACACAAAGGCGTACGCTACGCCAGACTTACGCCGTGTGTGTGAACATACCCTAAGTATTTTATCAGGGATTATGTTAATCAGGAATCCAGTGTAATAAGATAAATTTCATCAATCATTATCAGATTATGTGTTAACAAGGGATTTTGGATTCGTTAATTAATCAGAGATCCTAAGATTAGATATGAAAAATAGGGATTTAGAGAATAGGTATTTAATCAGGGATCCAAAAATTAGATATTTAATCAAGGTATCCTAAAATTACAGTATGTGTATCAAGAGTCATAGGATATTGTATTTCTTCTTCGATTATGTATTAATAAGGAATCTTGCAATTATGTGTTTAATGATGAGTATTAAAGTGGAAGCATGTGTTTAACCTGGGATCCTATACTTCGGTATTTAACCAGGGATCGCGTGATTATCTCTGTAATCATGGATCAATATTAATGCTTACCTTGCTTTGGAACCACTAATAAATAGAGGCCATCAATTTTGGCAACCACTTGTGACGTGTAAAGATTCTTCCAGGGGATCTTGAGTGTCAATTTCTCAAGGGAACCAGCTTTCACCTGAAACGGCAGCTCCAACTCATCCTGAAATCAATCATAAATTTCATACTCAACCAAGCAAATTAATTACTTATTTAATGTATCATGTATTTATGTAATGTGGTTGGATTTATATAGTGCTTCATAACAAAGTCTCTAGGCACTCGAGGTGTGGACTAGCTCACAAGTAAATTTCTTCTCCCCTAAAGGGTCTCTTCGTGTCTGAGCTACCTGGTAAACCGGTACCAGCTGTCTCTTGTGTTTCCACAACAGGGCTGTATAACCGGTACACTGGGGTAACCCTAACTTGTCTCTAAAGATGTACTTGGTTCTTTATAGTGCACACGAGCCATTGTGCACAATGGGCCTACGGTTCATAGTCCTTATCCGAGAACACATTTCACCCCACCACTGGCGAGGGTACAGTTCCAACCAGCACCGACATTACGGCTGTAGGTTGCAGCGCCCCTACCTTAACCATTCGTACGTCCAAATCGCCTATATACAGTTGTATATTAAAATTCACATTCTTTATTAATTCACAAATTAATTATTCATACTACTTTCACTGTTTCAGGGATCAAATTCTCGTGTGAGTCCAAAAGTCTAACTTCCACACTCCCGCAACCAACCAAAAAGCTCCCAGGTGGCCAAAGTACGACTTGACGGACACATGTGCCCCGTAGGTGATTTTGTTGGGGCTCATGAAAATAAATTTAGAAAAAAAAAAACGGCATGCAGTCTGCCAGCTATTTATGGCTACAAAATACCATGTTTTATGGACCAACACTGATCAACTGAGAATAAAGTGGTATAAAAGCAGTGCATCAAGGTTTTCACAAGCACACTGTAAACATCAAAGTTTAGGTGCAGCCATTGGTGTTATGTCAAAAATTTTGGTTCCCGATCTATTTTTATTCCCACCCCTGAACTAAACCATCTCCTGCATATTCATGATTCTTGCATGCCTTATGCACTGTGTAATTTTTGTGTCTACTGCACTCTGGGCAGAGACTCTTTGAGTTCAGTTTGTAACGATATTACGCATTTGGTGACCCACCTTGCTTGTTCTTGTTTGCTCTGCGATGCCAAATGTAAGTTCTATGTAGGTAAGCTTAGATGTTTGATTTCACTAAATTTGACAATTGAGGCCAACCTGTAGGTAGAGCTACTGATTTTATTGTGTTACTAATATAAGTAGTATTAGTATTATTATGGTAGATGAAAATTTTTTGTTGTGACATTTAATTTTGGGTCTGTATTTTCCGTTGGCTTCAGTTTACATTACTTCAGTATAGGTTAGCCTATGCTGGTATCTGCCATTGGCCCGCCGATCAGTCGTACAGAACATTGTCGACTCGTAGCAGCCCTACAGTAGCTCGTATAGCTAATGTAGGCTAGGTTGTTCACAGAGACTAGTAGGTTAGGGCCTACTGATTATCAGGAGTGGTGCCAGGATTTGCCCAGTGGGGGTTCAATGTCTCCACCAAGAGCAAAGTGCACAGGGTCGGGCGTCGCCTAAAATCTTTTGAAATTGGCCCTGGTGGCGAAGCCCCGAAAAACGTTGGGCGAGTTGAAAATAGTAAAAAAAAGAAATGTCAAGCACTAGACACACGCTCCTGCTTGGAGCCTATTTTACACTGTAGCTACCATGGATTCCCTACCCAATTTTATTTTAAGATTGAAAAGGCAAAAGGTTACCTACCAATGCTCCATCCTTAATGCGTAGGTTCTCAAGAACTGCATCTCCTATAGAAAGTAAATAAATTAAAATAAATATTTGCTTCTACAGTATTTCATACTGTATCATTTCTAGGTACAAAGTCATCTGTTCTTCGTGCCCAATGAAGCATGAACAACATTATCAATGATTTTTACTTATGATGGATTTTAAATGGCAGTAAAATAATCATTAATTTCCATAACTAAAACCCTTCAGTTAATGAATAAGTTGTATAACATTTATTATCTGAATATGACACATGTATCTACAGTGCAGTAGTGAATGCTTATCCATAGATCTACTTAACCAATTGGAAGTGGTTTAGCTGATAAGTACATAAAATATTATTTTAATTAAAAATATTGTGGTGTACATCATAAAATTACCATAGATGAGTAAATATTTACATAAAATATATAGATACTGTAGTAAGGTAATGCATATTTCTGTTTAACATTAATTTTGAAAGATATTCAGAGAAGAGAGGAAGAAGTAAAAATAAAATTGTTTTTTTGGTTGTAAAACTGTTCTACCAAAAATATCAAGGTGTAGTAGAAAATAAAAATAATATTTTCTTCACAACAAATAAATGCGAGGTAAAAATATAATAGAGCCCTCGCTCGAGATTTCATCGGGATATAAACAATCCAGTGCTCTCGATGTAGATAACTTGATGTTTGGAAAGGAAGACAAGTCCAAACATTTTATTTCACTTGCCCTGACTCATCATATCAATGAGATACTACTAGTACCTCTTCCATTAACCTGGATTTTCCCATTAATTTCATAGTTTAAAGGTTATATATGACTTATTAACACTGAAACCAAGAAAATGTAAGGTATTTAATGACTCGATCTTCTCTACAAATTTGCAATATTAACCATAAAATAAATAACAGATAATAAATTTGTATTACTAAAGAGATTAACCACCATTATGCAAATAAAGTAATCGTAACAGTTAACAACTTTCTAAGGAAACCCAAGGGTATTCAGTTAACAAGGCCTTTACAAAGACACTAATAGATAGCGCCTCATGTACAGTACTGTAGTTGATTAGATAGATTTACTTTTTTTAAATTAAATATAGTAAAACCCTTATTATAAGGGGACATAATCAAAAGTGTCCACCTTTATAGGGGTGTCCACAAAATAGGGATTGGCCATAGGGTTAAAAGATATACATTCCCTCGTTCATTGCCCCTTAATAGCAGTGTCCCCAAAGAAGGGGTTCTACTTTATCTTTCATTTAACTGTTCTAATTGATTGTTAGGAATCATTGTTTTATGTAGTAGCAGCATCCCATAAATACTAAAACATCCGAAACCGGGTGTGCTGGGCCATGAAGATCTTTGTGTCCCAGTTTTTTTGTCACCAAATTGCATATTGTACCAGCAACTTTCGGAAGGGATGTAAACTATTAAGCAGTTGATACATCATGGCCATTTTAAAGAACGCAACATTCTTTGGATAAGAGAAGGAATTTTCCTGCAAGCGACAGCTTAGTTCACCACCACGGTGATGCTACCAGGACTTGAAAAAATATACAATGACTATCTGGTTAGCGGTTGGAAACATCATACATGTCCCCAAAGGCATTTCATCTCAACAACTATTCGGCTATAATATACGCAGGGATGTATTTAAATGGTGGGCGGGCCACTCATGCCTTGAAGTTTTCCACCCAGTCTAAAGCTCATTTCATGAACCTCCACCCACCCTTATTT